ATGCTATGACAATCAATAAAGCCCAAGGACAATCTGTGAAGTTCGTTGGGATTGATTTGCGGACACCTGTTTTTAGTCATGGACACCTTTATGTGGCACTATCTAGATGCACATCTTCAGATCGTATTACAGTCCTCCTTCCAGAAGATGGGTCGAATTGCACTACAAATATTGTTTACCCAGAAGTTTTGTTATAAGATTCTTACGACAAGTAAATGGTATAGTTTAAACAAATTTATTTCTACTGAATTATGTAATCTTTTCATCATTTCAACTTTTAGTTTTACAATGAGATTCATTCTTTATAGGATTGGAGTGAATTTGTCAACGAGAACGATAGTGTATATACAATGGACCTTTGTGGATGGGGCCGACGTAATCAGGTAAATCTACTTTATGTCACTGTATTAAAATAACTTTACTATTCCTACAATATAAATATTGTGTTACTTTTATTGTTTATGTGAATAATTAGGTGGTTGTGCATTCTCCTCATTGGGCAAAGTGCGTTCGTATTGATACGAGGACATTAATGATAGTGATGAAGAGAAGGTTTAAAGGGATGAATAAGACATTTAAGAGAGTTAAATGATATGCAATCCATTACCGACCTGTCCACCTTTGACGATGACTAACTCATCACTGACCAAACAATTGTTTAGGTATGAAAATCTCTCTTACTAAGACTCTATATTTCTCTATTCTCATGTAGACACACAACACACAATACATGCACAAACACAAACACATAACTGTAACCAATCAAACACTCGCAAATCAAACTCACACACCATTATATTGTCACTAATACAGATTTATGATTGAAATCATTAAGCAAATGAACCGTCTATTGAAATGATACTAAGAAAATCTTATTTGATTGTAAGTCTCTACATTCCTCCATATATTTTCCTAAATAAATTGATAATTTGTTACAAACTCTCTAAATTCTTACTTATATCAATCTAAATCATTCCAGGGTAATGTAATTAATTTTATTGAATCCAACTAACGAAAAAAGTAAGGGGTCTTATGTTTCGGATTTACAATTGTTTTATTTTGACTCACTTATTTCGATAATTTTTATATTTCAAATATTTTCAGGTATACATTGAAGGATACTTGGTATAAGTTGTAAAGAATATGAAGTTGTTTCTTTATTTTGTGTATGTGTGTATTTTTTGTGTTCCGTCTTTTGTAAAGTTAACTAATTATACATAATTATGATGATTTTGGGTATGGAATGATGGTTGTTTTGGTGGTTTGGGTATGTAGTGATGATTGTAAGTTTTGTAGACAGGTTTATATTTTTCTGTATATCTATTTTTAAAAGAAATTCTGCATAAATTTCTTGAAATTAGTAGGGATTAACTTGATGTTTTGGTGGTTGGATATGTGTTGATGATTGAATACGTATTAATTCTGCATAAATTTTTCGTTACGCCGTGCCTTCAGGCACGGGCAATTACTAGTCGTTAATATAAAAGGTTAATTATCGATTGCTTAAATTTTAATTTATATTTTTAAAAATATTAATGTTATTGGGACATAATTTAATAACATAATTTGGGGACATAATGAGTTGTCACCAATGAAATGATAGTGAAATGTATTTAATGATGAGTCTCGTTGTAGCATTAAATAAATTCATTATCATATCATTTGTGACAACTCATTATCTTTCCAAATTATATCCATAAATTATGTTTCAATAGTATTGCTCTTTTAAAAATTAAAATTTATATTTATATTTTCAAAAATATAAATATGTATGAAAATATAAATATGTATTAATATGCACTTAAAACTCAGTTTGTCGTGTAAAACTAAATAGATAAATTATACCTAAACTTTTTTGTACTTGTCACTTAATCACTTAAATTTCTCCTATTTAAAATAGAATTAATTGTATTAGAAGTCCCCAAAGTATAGAGTTTGTCTCATTTTGGTCTCTAATATTTCAAATGTATCATTTTGGTCCCTTAAGTATTGAATATGTTTTTATATGGTCACTCAAGCAAATAGTGTCTAAATTGCTAACGATTTTTTATCATAAACTTGTCATATGATACTTATATATGGACAAAAAAATAATTTGGATAACTCTTAACCAAATTTTTACACAAATATTGATTAAATATTTACCTAAATTACACAGTTTTGATTATGAATTATCTAAATTTTGGTCAAAAACTACTCATATTACACATTTTTTGTTAAGGGCTACCTAAATTTTGTTTAAGAGCTATCAAAATTATTTTTTGTTCATATTTAGCTATTACGCGACAAGTTTATAATAAAAAATAATTAAAAATCTGGACATTGTCAGTTTGAAGGACCATATAGAAATATATTTAATACTTCAAGGATCAAAATGATGCAATTAAAACATTAGGGACTAAACTAAGATAAACCCTATACTTTGGAGACCTCTACTGCAATTAATCCTTTAAAATATTTATATATACATCTTCTGAAAATTCAAATATGACTAAAAATATATTACATTAAATATAAAAAAATATTATATAAATATCTGCATTATATTGAACTTTCAAATAATAAAATTAATTTTGAACTTTAAAATATAATAGACCCACAAAATAAAAGATAATACGAAAATTATAATTTTTTAGGAAGATGAAATCATGTTTTTTAACGATTATATTAATAAATATTAAGAATAAGGGATTATATGTTACACGTACACAAAACGTCAAGAGGTATAAGAGTAATATCATAAACACTAATGCTATTTTGACATAATTTAAGAATTTAATACATTATGACAATTGGATTGATTAAAGGTGTTCACCCTACCTTACGGGTAGGAAATATGTTCTTCCGTCTTCCTACTTGATACTTTGCGGAAGAGTTTTTTCTTGGTCTACCCTACCTGATAAGTGTGGTATTCCTACTCGACTTCCTACCCGATTAATCGGGTAGGAAGTCGAGTAAACATTTTTGTAACTATTAATTTTTGGATCATTTTAACAATTTAATTAAATAACATGCACCAATTTAACAACACTATAAATCAATTTACACTAAAATCTAAAACAACTACAACAAGAATTATAATAAAATACAAGAAACTATGAACATCAATCCACCATAATTGTTACACAAATACAATAACAGTTAATTTAAGTTTAAACTTTAAATCATATGAAATATATTAAAATCATAATTGTTCCGCCTGTGATTAGGGTTTAGGATTTTTTTAGTTTATATATATATATATTTAAAAATTATTACGGATAGGGTAGGAAATCGAAAATGGATGACTATTCTGCATTCCTACCCGAAAATTGTCGGAAGACCAAAAATTCTTCCGCATTCCTACCTGATTTTTGTGGCTAGCCGTTCAGTAGGGTAGGGTAGGACCTTGCAGCCGGTCAGAAATTTGAACACCCATAGGATTGATAGTGTTTATGACCTAGTGATACTTTAATGTTGGTACCACTAATAATCTAATGATTATAATCATTAATTTTTTAAATTATGTTATCAAATCATGTCACAATAGTGTTACTCATATTTTTAATGTGAGAGGTCTAAATGATTAAGTGATAAACTTGAAGGAGTTTAGGTGTAACTCAAATTGAAATTTTTTATTTTTGAGTGTGCAAATTGAGATTCGAGAAATTTTTGGAGATACAATTTGCAAGTAACCCTAATATAAAACAAAACAGACTTTAATAAGCATATCCAACGATTTTAAATAAACTCATCAATCGGTCACCAACATCCCTCTCAAAAGTCAAAATCATTCACATTAAATTTTTTTTCACCCCAAATCAAGTACTTCTCACTTACATTGTATTGTGTTTTCCAGAACGAATTATCCCTAGTTCAAAAACAAATTCGAGTAAAAATCTAACCTATTTTCTCAGTAATTTTTTTTTGAAAATTAGACCTATAATTTAACAATCAATTTTGGAAATTTAATTTTTTCACAAAAATCTATTAGACAATGAGAAATAAAAAAAAAAAATTTTTGTTTGAGGTTATTTAGCTTTTAAATAAAATTATTTAATTTTAAAATTAAAGTTACTTATAGATAAAAGTATATTCGATATACGTCGGACATTATTAGCATTCAATTCATTTATAGTGAGTTTAAAAATCTCAATATTTTGAATTTATTCTGTAATTTGAATTAATCTAAATGAGTCAAACTTGTAACTATTCGACAGTCCTATGCAGCATTTGAATTAAGACTCCACTTTTTTTTTTTTTTTGTCTTCAATTAAGTTTTCACAATTATTTGAATTAATTTACAGTGATTTTTCTCGAGTAATCTATAGACTAATACTTATGACAAAAATAAAAAATGTTCAATTTTAAATAAAAATTTACCTCTCCTCCCTAAAATAAAAACTTGTAGTGTGATAAATTTCAAATACCTACTTGTTCTAATAAGCCCAAAAAACACAATCAATAAAATCTAAAAACGTTCATACTTTTACTAAAAAATCTATCATTATCACGTGCTGAATGAGTTGATACAAACCTAACCATTAGTGTTATTTGCACAAAATAACCAACCACGCACTGACTTATTGTTAAACCAATACTTCTAACATTGTACCAGGCTACCAGCCAATGGCCTATTCATTCGATATTTATAATTTACAAAATACCATAATACGAAAGCTAATGATTTTTCACTCATACAGGAATGGGCAGAGGTCCACTTATAATTATCTGCCCTTGAAATCCTCTACAAATCCCAATTCAATAAAAGGAAAGAAATAATCTACAAAGGAAATTCCCTAAATCTTTCATCAAAGGAGCAAACCTTCCACATATTTCAACACATAGATACCGGGATTGTAAACAGCCTTAACATCCACGAACTGGGGTCGCACGACCCAAAATGGGATGGGTTTGCAATGCAAATCGCTCAAACTACCGACCCCAAACTATAACTCAACCGCTGATTGATTCATGATCTAAATAATCTTACATCATAACCGCAAGTCAAAATCATAACTCTAACTTGTTATTTCTTTTTTTGGTATTCTTTAAACTCATATTTTAACAACATTTATCATAAATATAAAATAAATATTTATTAACTGTGTATACGGATATATTATTCTATATAAAAGTTACAAAATGAAACTATGACTCAAAACAGTGTACCAACTAAGCCTATTCCCACCGATATAGAAAGAAGTACCGTACCACGTACCGAATCGATCCACGATCCAAGTAACATTGTTTCAACATTCCAAAAGATACAGCATGTAAGCTCTAATCTGTAACCATGCATTCTGCTTCTGTTCACAATCATAACCTGTTCACCAAAGTGGAGTATGCCTAACCATCAAGCGTCTGCACATTATGAAACCAGAAGCAGGCTTGCACCGGCTTTCACTCAATGCAGGAGCTGTTTGAGCAATTGATGTTTACACTCGTGAATGTCTCTGAAAGGGAATAGCCATGACAGACCAATGGAGGAGGGTATGTCTCTGACATGAATAGTCATGACAGCTACAAACCGAAGTCTAATTCAGCCCGCTTTAGCACAGACATAACCCTTATGAAAAATTCTGGTTCTGTCTCCTTGATATCATCAAGGGTCCTCAACTCATGCTCATCCGCCTGGTTCAAAAAGGACCAACACACTTGGATTCAAAGTGAAACAATGTAAAATTTTAGAGCAGAAGACAATACGCATGCATTTATCAATACAAATAATTAACCAAATGTTCCAACATCATGTTCTTTAGCTATACTATATAGAACAAAAGAAACTGCACACATTCAATTTCTAACCCTAAAATCACATATTTATTTTGTTTGCAGAGGACCTTCAGCTACCATTAATACAATTTATCTATTTTGAGCCTCCATTTAATTTAGATGATAAAATACCAAATTTTTTATGACAGCCTCAACTGTGATATGTTTTTAGAGGAAGATAGAATCAGGGATGGCTTGATATGTTTTGAGGCCTAAAGCTATAAATTCAATTAAGATTTTTTTTAATAATAATATAAATTTTTTAATATTTAATTTTTTTTCCGGATGCATATTAATTGTTTAGTATTCATATTGAAGTTTTTCTAACGTATCTTTTTTAATTGATAGTATAGCTAATTGACCTAATTTTTAAATTAAATAAAAAATTCCAAAACTTTCAAATTCAAAATTATTTGACAGATTATGTTGTCTCGTCATTGACACTCTTATAAAATTATTTTTCTATCAAGTAGACATTACTCATGGAATATATGTTTGATTAAGTTTTTCAAGATTATAATAAAAATGACAATATTATATGGACCTTATTTAGTGACCTTATTTGATAACCTTATCATTTTCTGTCATTAGATTGATAGTTGATCCTACTATTAGTTGAGGCCCACTATCAATCCCACAGCTATAATCCATTATGTTATCAGATATGATTACTAAATTAGGTACAAAATATATATATATATATATATATATTTTTTTTTTTTTTTTCTTGTAAAATGTTATTGTGTGAGATTAATGGATTGCATTTTTGGGCCCAAAATCAGTCTAGAGTTTTTTTGTTGGTTTAGGCCTTCATATGAGACTTTCTTATAAGGTTAATTTTGTTGGGTTAAAATTGACTTGGGCTATATTTGTAAACTTTTTAAATTTTGGGGCCCTCTTTATTGGTGGGGCCTAATGCCACCGCTTCTTTTCCTCCACTGTTGGGTCGGCCTTGGATAGAATATCAGACATATTACATATATGAAGGGAAAAAGACCACAGGAGATTCAAATTCAGTAAATACTCAATACCTCTTTAAATCTTAGAAGAATTAGATTTGACACGGATGCCGGCTTTGCCCGATCCCATCTGAAAAGTTACCAGGGGAAAGCACAACAATAGAAGTGAAATATAACACTGCATCCTCAGACGGATTCTACTAGTTATGACAAATTAAGTACCTTGGTGATATAAAATGACATACATGTGATGCTAGTTTAAGTAATCATAATAAAACACTGAGGTCACAAATCAAGAAAAATTGCTTACTATAAAATGTACAAGACTTAGGATTATTAAGTGTATTCGGGTTTCTTTGCCATGTTTGAAAGAATACATACAGAGGACAGATAGTTTGAGTCCTAAATGTTTGCAAAGTATTCCAGGAAAAAGTCACCGAAGGTCTTAAGCTAAAGGAAGGTGAAACGTCCTACTCACTAGCATGCCCTATTACAGACTTGCTAGGACCTATTTAAGACCCATTCAAAGATGCGATATTTACACCACGAAATTAGATAATGCCAAAATACTTCTTGTACTGAAGACAAACACCACATCTTTTCCAGGCATCATCTAGTTCTTTCCAAGCTTAGTTTAGCCAAGAAATTTTTTTCAGTGGTTAATTCTCAAACCAAGTGATCTACGAACATCCTTACCTCACAAACATTAACTCATTGAAAGAACGCCACATTCCACGCCCCACCTCTTTTGTAGATTGATCTCTAGCACTTCGTCCACGCCACAACTCTTTTGCAATGTACATAACTTCTTCAACGTCTACCTTAAAGATTGGTACAATGGGGAACATAAAGTATAACAGTTCATTAGTGTATAAGCATAAGCAAGAAACGCAATATTGCAGTGAAGTGAATGTATAACCTCCCGAAACCTACATTATTTTATATGCCGGATTTGTAAGTAAGAAACAAAAGCAAGTCAGAAAATTTATATGCGTGCTTCAGAAAGAATTAATTGACATAACATTCGATAATATTTGGCAAAGATCACTTCAATGGCACTCTAACAACTATGACATTTGACAAAAAACCACTAAAAACCACTGCAAAATGAAACTAAGACCATAGTTTAAGAGGATGAAGAGTATTTAACACTTCTTTTTACTGGTTGACGCTATAGCATTTTATACAATAGAATACGTAAAATGAAAAGTAAATATTTTCATGTTGAGATATAAGAAGCTACCCCAAGTAAGATAAATTTTGTAGCTCAAAGTACTTGTGTTTGAAAACTAAAACTGAAGCAATAGTGTGATATTTTCAAGAACAAGGAAACCTCAATACCTGAACTTGCATGGATGTGCCATACAGTAACTCCTCATGCTCAACAAGGCGCTGATGGAGTATACGATAATGATCCGTATCAAAGTTTACCACCGGCTCTGTTTGAACTTGCAATCCGGCCAGTTGTGTCACGACATAGGAAGCCATAACCTGTCCAAAAATTGCAGGTATGGTTCCTAGAACAGGAATGATTCGAACCCTAAAACCCGGCACTATCTGACATCATAATTCAAGAATTAGAATATTGAACCTCGTGATACTTCCATGACAGTATACAGCTAACTTATAATATAATGCAGTGCAAGGAAATAAAGTTCTAATCTTTCTTAGAAGTTTAGAACATGTACTGCAAGTCATAATGAAAGAAACGAAATAGAAATTAATAATTCTATCCTTCCAAGGAACAAGTAAACATCCTCACTTGATAATCAGAAGGATTTTCTTCTTCTCCACTTGGTCCCTGAAATGGAAGCAGCTTTGCCTTAGGTTTCTCTAAAGAAAAAACCACAGGAATGCCACCTTCAATACCATAATCTTTCCTCAAACGGTGTCTCACCTGCAAGATGGATGTTGCATAGGAGATCTATTCAGTACCACAAATGAAAAAAACTAAAAGCAAATCCAATGATACCCTGGGAAGACAGAGGAACAAATTAGTTTGGATGTTAATACACTTCAACGGAATTCTAGATTAACATTTTAATAAGTCAATAAGTTCCCAATGGATTGAAATCATGAACTTACAGTAAACACAAAGAGAATGTGTTCTGCAACACAGAGAAATGCATGATCAAGTTTACTGGAAAAATAATAGGCAAAAAGCATCAGGAAACAATATTGTGAAGTCAGCTAGAGCAAGACAGCAGTAGCAGGCACTACTTCAAAATCCATAAATCAAGTAATCTAGTCTCGTCCCCATGTAATTTTATGAAATTAAACTCTGAAGCCAGTCCCAAAAAAAAAGTCTGACGTATATAAATTTCAAGGCAACCAAGATGAAATTTAAAGAGAAAAAACTCCAGAGTTTCAATTGAGCAAGTAAAATATGGATCCAGGGAGATTATCTGGCTTTGAGGGGGTCATTGCTGCAGTTTATCTAGGGAATTAGTGTGATGGACTACTCTTGGTGGTCATAGCCTTGCCCTTTTCTGGTTCAGTACATCTCCTCCTCATGTGTTTTTTGTCTGTTTCTAATCACCCAGGACATTAAAATACAGTTCACAAATTGCACTCAAGACTTTCAAAACTGTCTCAATTAAAAAAGGAGACATTCAAATAAAGAAGCATTAACTCTTTTAATTTTCCTTTTAGTTTTATATAACACCTCAGTTTCTCCTAGTCTTATCAAACTCATACTGGAGTGGAACACATAGGCTATCATATTGAGTCAAATATGCCAAGCTAAATCCTATTGTATCCTTTGTGACAGACAAAACTAACTACAGAGTGCCAAGTTTTAACAAAACCGTGTGCACACCACCAACCTACACTAAATAAAAATAAGACTATACTCACTATAAAAGAAAGCAACTCTCTAAGATATACAGTCATCCCCCAACTTCTTGTTAAACAACCATTTACTCTAAAAACCTAAGTTATTGGAGTGGCGGCGAGCTTCGAACATAGAACTCCTATTTTGATACCATGTTAAACAACCACCTACTCTAAAAGCTTAAGCTATTAGAGAGGGTTTAATTTAAGTATTTATACTCCAAATCTACAACTGAGAACTCCACTCTGATGATCTCTGATTATGTTCTAGCCCTAAAATCCACCAAAGACCTCACAACCCTAGGCGGGGAACCCCAGACTTCAACACACCTCCTCCTTGCGTGGCCACCTGTGGCCGTCAACATCAAAATAAATCAAGCACCTATGTGAAAAAATAGAGATCACAACTTTATAGAAATTGGATGGGGATTAAAATTATAATTTATGGTCATTTTCGCCCTTTGCACATAAACTGCAACTAACAATAATCTTCCTCCTTTCTTCGAGTTACTTTAAAGTAAATATTTTTTCTAAAGCAAAACCACCATGGTTCATAGTCACAGTATCGATCATCGATTCAAAGAGCTCTGAAACACATTGATCATAGCATCGCGGCGCAGTTCGGACAATACGACCTAAAAGAAAATATTAAACATGACGAGAAATTTAGGTCATACCGCAGCGTCGCATAACCGTATCGACCGATTTGGTGACAACAACCCGGATGACTCGGCCAAATCATGCAAAACTAGGAGTTTATATTTATCGTATAATGATATCATCTCAGAAACTGCCAAGTCAGATACGACTTGTATTGATATTGGCCGATACGATGAGACACTTGTTTTCCAAATAGCCTCCCAAGGGATATGCATGCGAAACCTTCTCCTAAGAGCACCCAATGAAATCAAACTATAATAAGTTACATGTGGTTCATATTTATAAATCCATGATCAAATTAATGGTTTCTCATATGAGAATTTTGTCTATAACTGCATTTCAAGCTAGAATCAAAATTTTATTTTTGTGAATTGTTTTGGTCACTTAGAAAACGGAAACGTTTCGACTCGTTTCAAAAATAAAATAAAAAAAATTTAAAATTATTTTTCTAAATATTTGGTCGAAATATACCAAATTATCTTGAATACCTTGAAACATTTTAAAACATTATAAAACACCTCGAAACATTATGAAACACCTCGAAGTATTAAAATTTTGATTATATGACGGATTCGTTTTGGTCTCATTGAAAGCGGAAACGTTTCGGACATTTAGAAATGAAATTTTGATCATTGATTTCAAGAAATTGAAATATCCACCATCACGTAAGCAAATCATGACCATGCCGATTATATCATTTATTCCAACAAGCTTGATAGATATCTCACAAATTCTGGAATCTTTTAGATACCTTTGCTAACTCCTTAAAAACGAAAAAAATGCTATAATACATTGGGAACTTAAATCATTTTGGAATACGTATCACCATTTTATAATTTAAAAGCAAACAATGAAATACTGTTTAAGTTAGATTTATCCGTCCAACAAACTTCCTGGAAAGCCAAATGCATGTCAGATTAGTATTGTTGAAGAATGGAAGTGTTCCTAGCTAGCAAAAACTGGAGAGAGACAACTAGAAATTGGGAAAAAAATAAATAAAAAAGCCTTGATGATGAAGATTTCATATGCAACATGTACGCTAAATTAAAAGCTAAATAAAAAATCTCTATACAAATCCAACTATTGGACATGAATATGCATTTCATATTTGAGGTGGAAAAAAAAAGCACTACCGCTCGAGATAGTGGGTCATTTGTTGACTCTCTTAAATCAGCCACACGGATTCTGGTTGGATCAGCTCTTGCGCCAGCTCCTGTCGCAGACAAAACTTTCAAACCCTTACGCACACATGCAGCAAGAAGTGCCACCTATAACATGCGAAGAAGCAATTGCACAAAAATTACAAAGTAAAACTATTAGACGAAGTCACACATAGTAGAACACAATAATGACTGTTTAATAATTATAACAGTAGAAAATTAAGCCGGGCTGGTTGACCAACCCACTTGCATTATCCTTGAGGACAAAATATCTGCAGATGCAACCCTTCCAAAGTAGCAAAGGAATGACATAAGTCAGACTAAGAAAGGGTGCCAGTTTGTGTGTGTCCATGAACATGTGCATGCAGTTGTATCCTACATAGCAATGCAAAACAACATGGCATCATTTTTTATGGTTTTTGCACTTTCCATCCTAGAACGATTCTCCAATTCTCAATTTGCACCCTTAAAGAACAAAATTTTCAATTTTCCATAAAACTGTAGCAACCTGACCCAAATTGCTGCTGAATTTTTCCATCTAAAAATGAAGCAGGAAACTTGCAATTGGCATGGACTTAAAGGTAACTCGCATGCATCGTTTCCAGACAGAAAACTAAATGGCAGTGTGGGTCTGGGTCACATTGCTACAAGAGAATTTTGATCTCTGAGAGCAAATTAAGAATTGGAGAATTTTTCAGGGTGCAAACAGTTATTAGTCCTATTTTTTATGCGCACATATTAAGCACAGCATTTTAATTATCAACTCTCAGACACACTTTCAATACCTCATCAAGGAATGAAGGAAACTAGGGTCATACTCACAAAGGAGCCAAACCCCCCCCCCCCCCCCCCCCCAAAACAAGGGGGGAAAAAACCCCAAACTGAAGGGCATGAAATTATGATGTTGTGACTTCTACAGGTTTTTTTTCGGTAGATCCCTTGCTAACCTATATATTGAACAGTACAGGCAAATTATGGTGGTGTGACTTCTACTCATATGCAGTCTCTATATATACATGTCAAATCAGAGAAATTTTCACCTGACAGTTCATTCAGTAGTTATAAATGAAGAAAGACTATAAATACTTGTATTTTGTAACAAAGTTAACGCTAGTCAAGAATTATAACTCCCCCTTCTGGGAAAAAGGTTCTGCAAAAGTAAAAGTAGACAATAAAAAAATACAGATACCTTTGTGTCGATGTTATCGATGCAATCTAATACAAAATCAGGGTGGCCAGAAAGAATTTCTTCTTCTGAGGAAGAATCATATAGTAGAACTTTGGCCTCTACACAGGACTCTGGGAAAATTGCTGCAAAGTGCTTCTTAAGGCACAGGGCCTTAGGGGTTCCAACATCCTCTCTGGTTGCAACAGCATGTCGATTCAACGATGAAAGTGACACCTTTATATGCAATTACCAAATGAGTATGGATTTCTTAACACCATAAACATGTAAAGTATAATACATGTAATCTCATGCCAACCAGCAAGAGTCCTGTTACTAGACCTAGCAAAGAGATGGACATTAACATGCCATCCTACTTTAGGTTAATTTCAGGTATACAATCAATGCCTGAATTCTTCATTTTCTGGCAACAATTTTCATGCATTCTATATATTTCTGGCCAAAGTTATGCTCCAGTCCAGTTTTGTAAGTTTTTGCCCAAATAGTGATAAAACGTTTAAGGCCAAAACAAGCAGCCAGTTACATTCTGCTCTATTTAAATTTCAATTCAATTAGCCAGCCAGCCTGATCTTTAAGTTTTCCAGTATTTTGTGCTAGTAAATTTTGGGATTTGAGCTTAAACTGCAGCAGCTATCAAATGTTGCAACTATTTGGACAGCATTAAGAGGAACAAGCATCAGAGTTTTCTCAATCACATGTGTAGAGATTCACAAGGTGGAAATGCCCAAGATTTTTCTTTTTCAGGTGGAGTAAACAAAGTCTTTTGCTTTGGCTTGAGAGTTGGGATTCTTAAGCAGCCATTTAAAGGAAATTAAAGTTAAACATTTACAACAGTAGAATTTTCAAGGTTTCTAATATGTATAGATGTGAGAAAAGTCATGGAACTTCAGGACCATGATTATACACCAAATCACCTCTGTAGAAAAATAGACATCCCATCACTTCAGATATTGCATCTAAGATAAGGCCCCTATTCATGTCAACAGCCATCATGAAAAATCCAAGGCATGGATTAGTAACTGCCGCAACAATCACCATGTTCTGCTAAGTCAATTCCAACAATGAGATCAACCAAATTTTGGCAATACCCTTGCACTGAACGATGCCGACACTCCACCTATTCTTGGATGATTAGCTGATTACAATCGGGAGTAAATGTGATGATTGTGTAAAGAAATTTTTGAACAAAAAGAAGAGGATGGTGTATTTAGAAGTGTAAGGGGATGGAACAAAAAGAAGAGGGTAAAAAGTTCCATATATGGTTCAGGACATTTTCAAAACCAATGTCCCCACATATCATTCCAGTTGGAAAAGAGCAAGGAAAGAAGAGTGTGTTTGAGAGGGGGTGGGTTGGGTGGGAAAGTGAACTGAATTTTTGTTTATTAGTTGCTCTGCAACCTCCAAATTTACCACATGGATAGCATATAGAATCCAAGTCCAATAATCAATAAAATCCAAATTTACCAGCATGAAATGACCATACAACCAAGACTGTAAGCAACCACAAATCCAACCTACTAGAAACCAAACTTACTAACTTTTTAGACTCATGGCTTGGGCTTCCTAAAACGCTGAAAAAGATATTTAATAGCAACTAATACCAGCATGCTAGAAGGCAGAAAAGCAAGTTCCTTTAAGGTCCTACTCCATGCTCTTTTCACACCCTTGATTCCTAGTTGTCTGAAATTGCCTATAGAACAACCATCAAACAGTGAAGTAATATACATGGGCTTTTGAAGAGAAGGGAGATAATGTCAGTTGCTTTATGCAACAGCAAACTGCAACAAATTCATGAAAATGCAACTTAAGGGAGCCCTTGACATCTTCAAAAGTTGAGGATATGAATTATCCCACAAAATCTTCACTTCCATATATCCTCACAAACTCACATTCCTCTCAATCCAAAGGGCACAAAACTTTAGTAGTCTGCCTCTCTTTCTCCAGCAATGTCCCAGAAGAGACTCCTAAATATTCTGTGATGATGCTAATAAACAACAGACAAATGACCGCCTTTTGATTGCTTTCAGGGAAAATAACGAGTATTAGAATGACATTTTTTTGTCAGGTCTACTCACTGCACCGCCATACCATGTACTTCCTGGCAAGCTCTAACAGGATCTGGTGCATATGGACCTCTCATAAAACATGAGCTCACCAAATGTCTAGGGCCCAACTACCACCAATCCATTTTAATATCTCAAGTGAATGAATAAGAAAGTTGCAAAATCGCAAAAGGATGGTTAGTTGAATCCGAAGTCATAATGTTAATCTCTTTCATCACTACTGAACTTAAGGTTGAATTCTAGACCAAACTCAATGAACATAAAAATGAAGTGATATTGGACTTAATTAGAATATAGATTGGACTTAATAAGAATTTAAATTTCGGAATTAGAAGCAAATACATAAAACTCACAGATGTCAGTAGGCAAATCCTACAGTTTCTATAAGCATAGCCCTAAAAAGACTTGTTTTGCTTTCAAAGAAAGCACGCAATTACCTTTGAAGTGAAGAGAAAATGAAATGAAAATTGGAGTACATATAAGATGAACACAAGAAAGCTTGCCACAAAGTGACGAACTGAACAGGTGGGAGAAGACTCCTAAATGATGTATAAAAAATAGGCATCCCCCTAAAATACACGACAATAAGAAAAGACAAACTTTGAAATGCTAGCAAAAGAGGGATTCATAAAAAAAAGGATACCTGATCAAAATCCACAAGAAGAAGCCTGCCAACCCCTGACCTTAAAAGCATAGATGCAGCATGACTTCCAACCCCTCCAAGACCAATGACTACAACATATGATGCAGTCACTTTCTGTTGAGCCTCAAGGCCAAAGAACTGAATATTCCTAATGAATATCATCAGAACAGGAACATAAATGAAGTTATGCTCAAAATAAAATTCCCCATAAAACACTAGGTGTTAGCTTGAGTTACATACTGCCACAATCAATTAAAAGGTATAGGTTTCAAGACCCAGTAGGTACAAGCGTGAATATGTAGTCCCTAGTCCTATTAGACGAAGACAAAAAAGGGTAAAAAAGGGGGAATTAGAAATCTACAGGATGAAATATAAACATTTTACTGATTGAAACAACCATGTCCCCCAATGCCCATGCAATTGTATACCTATACATATCCTTATATTCATGAGCATATATGGATGATTTATTACAAGGTTCTAGAACCTTCAGCAAGAAGTCAATAATTGCTGAAATTCCAAATGAAACTTAAGGATTTCCAGAATATACTATTGGCATTATGCAGCCATAGGACCCCCTTTAGAAATATTATACACTAACAAGGGTATATGCAAATTCATAGAATCAAATAAACATTGCTATTTCATACAAGGTGTAGAACACAGCAAGAGAAGACAAAATGTAGCAGTGCCCTCGCTTCTTGTCCATTATTACTCCCCTAAAAAGCACGGACCCGGACCCGACCCGACCCGACACAGATACAAAAATGTTATGTCTAGATATCTAGTGTGAATTTTCAGAATAAAGTATCATAATAGTCAAATAGTCATAAATGTTTTTGTAGACAATGTGTACCTAACACATATAGGTTAAATGCTTGTTCTCATTTTCTCAATTCCTCTTGTTTAAAACTTTTATACATCTTTTATTTTTAGTTATTATATTTTGAGTACAACTTTACTATGTCTAGTCATCCTATATATTCTCTCATAGTATAAAAATACTTCTTCGTCAAATTTTTAAGTTTTATTAGTCATATATCAACACATGTTCATTATTTAGTAGTAGATAGGTCTAAAGAAGTGTCGGATACGTCACAAAAGAAGTGTCGGATACGTCACAAAAGAAGTGTCGGACTTGGTCCAAATTAAAAATTTTATCATTTAATTATGGATACGGATAAAAGAGTATATGTCCGAGAATGTCCAAGGAGTGTCGATGTTCGATACGGATACTTTATCTTCTTGAGAGTGTTCATGCTTCATAGTTTCTGCTACCCTGTAAAATATAAACTTAAACAACTTTGGAATACAATCAAGATCAGAACAAATTGTCTGAGTTTAAAATATCTCACCAAAGTTAATACCATGATTAAAAATCTACTCACAAACTTTTATACATAGTGGTCATTTGGTGATGTGGACCATTGAACGAAGAAAAAGGAAATTTAAGAACTTTGTATGCAGCACAGTATAGAAGAGGCATCCTAGGGAAGGAAAGTGACCTTTCCCTAGTGTTTTTTGGTAAGCAACTCTACCATCTGAGTGTGGTTGAATAAGAAGGAAAGGAGGAAAGAATGAAAAAGGGGGCTTTCCTTGACCGACTATTATATTCTTAAATACAAAAGAAATAAGGCTTTTTCCAAGGACAGAAAGGTTGAGAGAAGTAGTTTCTCCTAATGCAGCACCCACATGGAGAAAATGTAGAGACAAAGTAGAAGAGAGAGGAGACTGAGAGCATGGATAGACAAACTTCAATTCAATTCAATATTCTGCTAAGCCGTTGACAACACCAAATGACAAGAAGCATGTTATTCATCGGCTTCTTTTAAAAGGTCCAAATATGGACAGAAAAATTAATTTTACCAACAAAATTTAATTCCAATATTTCAATGCTTAAATCAAGCCTAAATTAATCCTACTCCGGTCTTATTTTTTCTGGTTTTCTTGTGATCCCCATCACCTCCCATTTTCCTCCCAATTTGGGAGAAAATAATATCATGAACCTAGAGGAAAGAGGAATCCCTCACCTCTCCCCTTCCCTCCCTTCCATTCTTCCAACCAAATGGGTTATCAGGTCAACGTGGTGCACTATCATTACTCCATGTCTGATTAAACTTACCTACAAATCTTTCAATTCTCTTTTGAAAATTTTCTTGTTGACAAATCTTAAGTAAAGGTCTTTAGGTTGAATCTGGACAATAAAAAATGTTTGTGATTGGGTCCCAGTGCTCACTGTCTTCCAAATCATTATTTGGTTTCAGTTGAGCACAACTGAATCCTCCTTTTACCCTGTGGGCCTGTGGCCCCTATGAAGCAGGCCTAATTAAGCATGGGCCTAGATATTCATGTACCTGGTTAGTTGTTCAGAAACTATTTCATCATTTAACAGGTCTGGACTAGCTGTCACATGATTCTTGTCCCCACGAAAATTATGGCCCCTAGTAGGTGTCTTGGATATAAACCCATTACCTGTTAAAAATGATAGCGAGAGAAAATTGTCATAAATTACAAAGATTGTGGAAACATAACATAGGTAAGAATATAAAGATAGATAGCATATCTAGCAGTGGATAAATGGTACCTCCAAAACATTTTTGGTACCAATGAAATTGATTAGTACCGTAGATCTAATGCATTTTTTTTTATAAGAAACAATAATTTTATTAATAACTGAAATAAAAACAGCAGTACAAGAATCAATCAAAAGTCGTCCAATCTAATGATTAGTACAATATAGTCCGCCGGATGCCATCCAACTCGCCCTGATACTAAATAAGGAATACTATCAAAGTCCTTCGTCATGAATGCCCAAAAAGAAGCCAAGAAATAAAGTTGATCCCATAAACCCTCAACATCCTCCCATTTGTTTTCAAAGATTCTCGCATATCTCTCCATCTATAAACCCCAAATTGTTGCAAAAAGAGCACACTATCTAAGTGTTTTCCCTCTTCCACTTCCTCCCAAACCCATAAAGTCCAAACAAATCATAGATAGTATGGATCTTGGAGCCACCCAACAAAGGCCAACTCACTTAAACAATTTATTCCATAGTGATAAAGTCATGGGACAATGTAAGAATAGATGATCCACACTCCCACCATTTGCTCTACTAGGGTTGGCAGTGGACCGGGGAAAATAAGTATTTGTTCAAACCCGTTTCGTTTGGACCAAAGATAGACCATACGTATTGCCCGGTGGACGTATATGGGGATGCCCGTATATATCCATATGGGGATGGACTGAAACTATTCCCCGCCTTACTAAATCCGTAATATATATATACTAGTTATTGATCGTGCCTTCATAAAAAAAATTGTCAATCATAAATATATTTATATTTACACCCAAAATCAAATCAAAACATAGAAAAGATAGAAAGGAATTTAAGCATCAGTTGTAGTAGAGATAAGCAGTGATAGTGGTGGCGGTGGAAAACAATGATGGTTGTGGTGGGCCGCAACAATCGTGGTGATGGTGAAAATCGTAATAGTGATGATGGTGGTAGTGATAGCCACAGGTGATGGCGGCGGCGGCGGCGGTGGTGGTGGTGGGCAACGATGATGGTGGTTAGCCGTGGTGGTGATGGGGAGACCATGGTGGTAATGGACGATGACCATGGTGGCAGTGGACGACGACCATGGTGGCGGTGAACGACGACCATGGTGGTGGTGAACGACGACGAGTGCAACAGCGGATTTACAGTGGGGTATAGTTCTATATATTAGGAGAACATGTGGGTGTGTTTCATAAATATAACATTAGATTAGGAGAACATTTCTTGTCTCGTGGTCTTGATTTTTCATTCATCTCTTCAGACTACTTTCTTTTCTTTCTTTGGCCCTTCGTGTCGTTTCTGTTGTGAATTGGAAGTTCCTCTCTTCAACCGAGTTTTATTCTCTTTAGTGTACCTCTGTTCCCTTTTTTATGTTTTCCTTGTCTTCAGTCGTCCCTTTTTTTGTTATCGATTCTATCATTATTTAACCAGTCGATTGTAAAAATTGTTGAGAGCTTAAAAAATTCTATGAGCTATCGTGCAAGAGGTAACTCATACACAATTTATTTGATTTCAAATTTTTTTTGTATTTTTTGGCACGACGATATGGGCTTCTACCCATTTGGTTTTTTTTACCCATTTCATTTTTTACCTAACACTGAATGACAGAACTACAATTATCTACATTTGAATTGAACAATGACGATTCAAACAGTTGATTTTTGATCTCTTCGGAATATTAGTTGTAGTGTTGATTTCTTTGAATATTATACGGTGGTGAGGGTATAAAGGAGTTTGGTTTTGTGGAATGAATTTATCGATGGTCTCGATGTGTAGCAGTCATCTATTTGTGAATTATAGATATGATTGAAGTTTATGTTATTATGATTCAGAAGCAGTCAGTCCCCTTTTTGTTATTTTTAGATGTTGGAATTAAAACTAGGGTTTGAATTTTTTATATTTAATTGGATTACTCTATATATAATTTGGTTGTTAAGCATTTTATTTTGGATTAAGTTATTTTGATTAATTAGACTTGAAGAATTTGATTATTATAGCTCAGATTGTTCCTATATCTAAGTTCGACTTAATAGAGTTATAATAGAATTAATTTTTCTAAATTACTGCCATTAAAATTTCTCCATTTATTTTGTTACTTATGGTTTTCTTGTAATTTATTTGTTAAAAACACAATGATGGGTATTGAGTTAGGGCCTAACTATTGAATTGATTTTTGAATTGGCTAGGATAAATTTTTTTAAAAAAAATTTAAAGTTATTAAGGAATTTTATGTTGCCCCACTGAAGAAATGGTCTGACTCCGCCCCTGGACGAGTGCTTGTGGGCGACGGGGACAGAGATTATTTACCCGCGGGGTGGGGACAAAGATTATTCCCAACTAACGGGGGTGACTCGAGGGTAGACGAATATTTTTGAAGCTTGTACGGAGGTGGAGACTACTACTTGCCCCCGCCCCAATCCCAGTACACTGTCATTCCTATTTTCTACACATAAAACACCATTGAGGTAAAAGACATGTCTAAGTTCCCTTCTTTAAAGCACATCGTTAGTATTAATCTTGCCATGAGTGACTAGCCATCCACAAACTTGCACTTTTAGAGAAACATTGGAATTCCAAATCTAGAAAGATGGACGAAATAATGATAGAATGATCATCATTAAATGATTCGAAGTAAGATTTACAAGAGCAAACACCAAGGTAATCATTAATCAAACTCTTTTATCCAAAAAATTTTAAAGCAAAGAAACATTATTTTTTTCTGATAAGAAACAAAATTTTATTGATAATCAAGAGATTATTAATAAAACAAAAAACAAGTGTGAACAAGCAATTCACCACAACACATACAATACAGACAAAAATAGTGAACAATCTACAAGCCACACGATGCCTTCCAGCTTGTCTTAATAAAAAAGAGAGAGATATTTTCAAATTCCTTCGACTGAGACCCAAAAAGATACCAAAAAATAAATTCTATCTCATAAACCCGTAAGCTCTTAACACTAATCCTAAAAAATCCTCGCATTCATTTCCTTCCAAATCACCAAAAGTGTAGCAAAGAAAGCACTGTTCCAAATAATCCTCCATCTACAACTCTCTTCAAATCCCACATTATTCATTCAAAACAAAGAAACCATAGTCCCTAGGGCATCCTAAGAAAAACCCCCAAGGTCAAAAAGCTTGTTCCAAAGCTTCTGTGCCAAAGGGCAATGCAAAAAAAAGGTGATTGATATTCTCATTCTCACTTCCACACATAAACCTCCATTTCGGTTGAAGGCAATGATTTGGTCTCCTCTTTTGAAGAACCTCATTAGTGCTAATCTTCGAGTGAGAAATAATCCATGCACAAACCTGCACCTTTAAAGGCATCTTCACCCTCCAAATCTTCAAAGATGACTCGAATAAGGGAATCAAAGGATTATTGATTAAAGACTCGAAAAAGGATTTATAAGAGAAGATTCGCGTAGGACTACCCATCCAATATCTCCTATCCTCAGGGTTTGGAATCAAGGAAACACTATTAAGCACAGAAAGGAGACTCACCATCTCTAAACACTCCCTGTAGTTAAGATTCCCCGAAAACCCAAAATCCCAAAAAATCGAATTAGAAAATGACCAAGCCATAGATGCAATCAATCGACTTTGATAGCAAGAGACACGATACAATCGTGGAAGAGAGTAGAGAATGACGGCTCTCAAACCCATAAGTTCTCCCAAAAACACACTATTTACATCACTTACAATGAACTTGACTTTCTGAGAAAAAACTGAAAAATATTCCTTTTAACTCCATTAGCATCTTACCCATTAATTTGTAATCCATACTTACTCCTACTAATAGCATACCACAAAAAATTTTGGTCCAAAGGGAACCACTAGAGCCATTTCCCAACCAAAACAACATTCCTATTCACCAAATTTTCAATCGAAAGTTCTCCCTTATCTTTTGGTCTAGTTTCCACCTCCTAACAAATCAAATGAACCTTCCTACCCTGTCCTACACTTTCCCACAAAAAATTCTCTCATTAAACCTTCAATTTTCCTAGCCACCACTCTAGACATTTTAAAAGGAGACATAAAGTATATAGGGATACTTGACAAGACTGATTGAATCAAAGTTAATCTACCCTTTTAGAAATAAAAAGATTTCTTCCATCCATCTAAACTCCTTCCAATTTTCTCTACAACAGGATCCCAAAAGGTCCTTGATATTGGATTACCATCTAAAGGAAGTGTAGTGGCCACTCACCCACCAAACACCCCAACTCCGTAGCTATACTAGTAAACTTTTCCTCTCTAGAATTATACCCACAATAACCTTAAACCCTGAAATCACTCCAAAGGCATCAACAATCAAGTTTAAGTTACTTAATTTCTGTTCATCCCTTGAAGAAAAGAAAATAATTTAATCCTCAAATTGCAAATAGGATAATTTAATCCTTAATTTGCAATAGGATAATTTAATCCTTTTCGTCCCTATAACAAATCCCAGGTTATGTCACTCTGCCATTTCCATCATCCTGCTCAACCCATCCACAACTAATGTGAACGAAAAAGGGGATAAAGGATCCCTTTGTCTAAGTCCCCTATATGCCTTAAATCTACCCATCGGCTTCCCATTTATTATAATAAAAAATTTTGCCAACTCCAAACAACCCTTAATCCATTTTCTCCATCTCACTCCAAATCCTTTTGCTTCCAACACAAAATCCAGAAACTCCAATCCGATCGTATGGTTTCTCAAAATCAATCTTCAATACAAAACCTTTCTTCCCTTTAACCCTATATTACTCAACAACCTCATTTGCTATAAGCACTACATCCATAATTTGTCTCCCTCTCATAAACACCCACTAACAATTTGAAATTGTATCACACAAACACTCCCTAAACCTCATACAAAGTACTTTTGCAATAATATTGTATAGACTTGTAAACAAACTAATAGGTCTAAAATCCTTCACTTTCAAAGAATAAACTTTTTTTTTGGAATAAGACATATAAATGTAGCATTTGTAACCCCATTGATAACACCCTTATGAAAAATTTCCTCAAACACTCGCATCAAAACATCCTTCATATTATCCCAACAATCTTGTAAATGGCCATAGTAAACCCATCTGGACTAGGAGCCTGCTCTCTACTAAACTCAAGCACCGCGTTTCTTACTTTCTCCACCTCAAAAGGTCTCTCCATCCACCCTCCGACCCTTATCTCAATAAGGCTTCACTCAAGGCCCCTCACAATAGTTTTAGAACCTCATTATCAAGCATAGTAAGGAGTAACAACTCCTAATGTTCGCTACCATTAAGATTTCTACGGAAACCAAAATCTCAATAAACTGGAAAAGAGGAAGATATAATCAAAGATGCAATGCATTTCCTATGATAACAAGAGATACGATAAATTCAAAGAAAAAGACTAGCAAATGAAAACTCTCCCTTTAAATATCGTCCTAAAAACAAATCCTAGACCCATCTTCCAACATGAAACTTATTATCTAAGAAAAGTTAGATAACCCCTAACAAATTGACTTCCATGGACTCCGAAAGGCCTCCCTTAGTATTCCAACATGAAACTTGCTCCATTGGAAATCTTCAAAGCCATTTTCCAATCGAGGCCTCATTTCTTTTCATCAAATTCCCCAATGAAAAACCACCATTAGCTTTTGGTCTAGTGACCACATTCCAAAACACCAAATGATCCTTCTTTTCTTCCTCATTCCCTTCCCATAAGAAGTCCCTCATCAATTAACCATCCTTTCAATCCTTTTAGCCACCAAACAAGGCATCTTAAAGTCAGATAAGTAATAAATAAGAATGCTTTGTAACATAGACTATACTAAAGTTAACCTTCCCCCTCTAAAAAAAAAAGCTTTCTTCCATTCCATCTAGCATTTTTCCTGTGAGCTAAGTACTTTAAGGGCCAACTACCCACTAAGCATCCCAACTCTCTAGCCAACCTCTCAATTTTCTCTTAATTAAAATAAATCCCTATAATTATGTTTTTCTCCAAATTAATCTTCAAACCGAAGACTAATCCAAACACCTTCACAAGCTTTTTTTAGTTTCTAAATTTTTCCTTATCTCCTGAAGAGAAGAATATTGTATCATCAACAAACCGCAAATGAGACACCGAAATCAAGGAACAACCCTCGAGCAGATTAGGTCTATCAGCCCTCTCTATTAACCTGCTCAACCCATTCACCACCGAAGTGAATAAAAATGGCGACAAAGGATTCCCCAGTCTAAGCCCCCTCAAACCTTTAAACTTACTCCTAGGTTTTCCATGTAACATATCAAAGAAATTCATTGATCCCAAGCACCCCTAATCCATGTCCTCCATCTATCCCCAAAACCTTTTGTTTCCATAACAAAATCCAAGTAACACCAAACACTCCATAAGCCTAACGGAAAGGACTTTAACTATGATCTTATACAAACTAGTAATAAGACTAATAGTTCTAAAATCCTTCAGTTTCAAAGAATTAACTTTTTGGGCATAAGACAAAGAATGTAGCATGGTCACCTGTATTAACCACACCATTATGAAAATAACTCCTCAAAAACTCTCATCAAGTCATCCTTCATATCCTCCCAGCATACTTGAAATATAGCAATGGTGAAACCATCCGGTCTCGGGGCTTTACCTCTAGAACACTCAAAAACTAAAAAGTCTCTCCAACCATCCCGCCATCTTTCCGTTAATAGGACACAACTCAAGTCCCAATAAGCTAGGTCTACAAAAAATTATGGCCAGAATAAAGATTAGCAAAGAATTCAACAATCTCTTTGAATCATTAATTGTAAAACCACAAAATAAAGTAAAACAATAAAATATGAAAACTTTACATGGATCACATTTTTATTGGACAAAAACGGAGGAGACATGGTATGGAAAAGTTATTTTTTGGTACCGAACTCATCTAGCAGTATAACATATATCTTCTGAGGTTACATTTACGAAACTAAGATAAAGGGGGAATTCGAATATCACACTCACTTATATATGAACCCCAAGTTTTAAAATGTCGATGTCCACACATATGTCAAGGTCTCCAGATAAAATATCCCACATGGATACCTCAATAAAATCAGAAATCCCTTTTTCTCTCAATGAAAATTTGGAGACATCAAAAAAATAAGATTAGTAACTGTGAAATCTGTTGATTTATTGGAGACCATAATGTGCTTACTGCTAAAAACCAATGGTTTAACACCTTGAAGTGTAATATATCCTTACTGGAAAATGTAATTAACTTTTTGAAGACAATGCTATGTCCAAATGCATGATAAGGAGCATTCATTCTATAAGATTGTTAGTTAGGTAAACGTGATAAGTTGATTTTCAAGAAAAACTTACCATTTGATTCTATTGCCTTTCTAATAGACTGGTCTGCTCCTTTTCTGCAAAATACACAGCATCATCTCATAAACTTCAATACCAAATACATATAATGTATGCACACACACACACACACAAATTGCGTTTTCATTCATCGTTGGGAAATGACTTGCTAGCATGTTGTGAGTGTATGAGAGCACGTGTGCGGGATTGTGTATGTATGTATTCACCTGGACAGACACTTGAGAAGAGCGATCGTAGAAGCAGAACCCAACAGAGCTCCAGCTCCAATTATGGCCAAAAGCTTCACTCGCTCCTCCATCTCTTCTCCTCTCTCTCTCTCCGGTGACGGGAGCGGCCATGCTCATGGTGAGGCCAGGGGTTTTACGGCAGAAGCGAGGCCTGGACAGGGTCAATATTGGCCCAAATCAATTAGAATTTGGGTTTTGGTATAACCAGGCGGGCAACTTTAGGTTGGGCAGAATGAACTGGCCTAGCCCAAATCAAATGTGCATACACATACTTACCCTTGTATTTGCTACGAGAACAGGTAGGTGGTGTTTGGGCTTCCGCTTATTGATCTTCGCGACGACAGAATGGTGTTTGGTAAAATATGTTTAAAATATATTCAAAATTAGTGGAGTAAGTATATTTATTTATTTTAACATAAAAGTTCCATTATGCACCATGGATCAACCAACGGTGCCGGGGCAACGGAGAGCTTTAGATGGAGCACTTTGCATTTAGTATGTGAGCCGTGGGTGCAATGACGCCTATATGGGCATTTTATAGTTTTTGCCCATGGACAAAACATATACGTCGCATGTGCAATGAGATTTGATGTGAAGACAGACCATAGTTGATCTGAGGGGCTACATTGTAACCAATTTAGAACAATGAGGGTACAATGTGAGAAAAATGGTCTTTTAAGGTATAAAGTGAAAGTATTAACATCTTTCGGGATGCAAAATGTAAAAACCCTAAAAACATTGGAATCACATGAAACGATCACACTAAAGAATAGCAATTAGTAAAAGAAAAAAATTACAATGTAACATTTAGAGTAACAGGCGTTACTATTTATGTCAAATCTTGTTGCATGCGACGCATGTGAATTTGCCAGAAAAAGTAATAGAAATTAGTGTGAGGGTCATATTATTACCATTTTGATGATACTCAGAATAATTCCCGAGCAAGAGCTCAGGAACGGAGGTCAAACATGGAGGTCAGGTATGCTGAGCTCAGAAAGTTAGAGTTATGCCGAGCTCAGAAATCAGAGCTAGAGCTCCCCTCAAGCGAGATAATAAGTTGAAGTAATAAGGAAGCAACTGGATACTACAAAGAACTCGACAGACGGTTTGAAGTAACACTCAAGACACAAAATCCTCAACCAACCAAGATACTCTCCTAAGATCAAGGAGAATTCCTCGGATAGATGGCGAAGATCACGGATAAGATCTCATAGATTAAGGGTCACCCTATAAATACTATGTAACGCCCCCAACAGAGGGGCAGAACCCTAGTATCACATCTTACATTCTGTAAACCTTTTGGAATAGTAAATAGTGAAGGAAGGAGCCAGAATCTCCATTAAAGAGTAGATTAGCCGAGCTCCTGAGTTGGTGAACCACTATATTTCTACTGTGTTAATTCTCCAACTACCCAACAATTCTCAGTATCATTCCCTCGAGTCTAGTAGCTCAGGTTCCAATAATTCTAATATTGTTTCTTTCATTTACTAATCATCACAAAATTGCATCACATTGAAATACACTATCAGTTTGGCGTCGTTTGTGGGAAACGACTGTTCCTGTTATAAATAAACTGATATTTCAGTGACTGATGGTATCAACGCGAAATATGAATCGAAGTCAAACAAATCCGCCACAGGCGCAAGATCAACAAGAAGTTGCCAATAGCAGACAACCCGAGAGCGTCTAAGAGAACCAATCTCCCAGTGGGGGGTCTCCCCATGAATAACGAGATGGAGGCTCTTCGCCTCTCCAATCAACGCTTGCTAAAGCAAAACGAAGAACTTTTACAACTCTTACAACGCTCACAGGAGGCATGATAGGCTCAAGAAGGCCAGAACAACCTCCCACTTAGGGAGCAACCACATCTTGGCCCCCTCAGAGAAGTTAACGAAGAAGGGAAAAATAGTCAAATCATGGGGCCAGAACCTTGTATACCCCTCAGGAATGGCCACAACGACAAAGGATAGAGTCAGAACGAAGAAGGTGAGAGAAACGATTTTTTCCCCTATCAACGAAAAAGGAGAGAACAATATTGGGAGCAACGCTTCCAAGGTATCCAGCAAGAGCTTAGTCACATGAAAGAAGTTGTGAGAGGTAGGGCTCCAGTTACCATGGATGCCTTGGTACAGTAGACTCAATCCTCATTCACCACTGGGGTGCTACATTTTTTCCTCCCTATGAAATTCAGAATACCGCAAATAGATGCTTTCGATGGAACAAAGGATCCCGTAGATCACCTCAACACCTATAAGAACCAGATAGAGTTGCATGGATACCAGGATCCAGTACGCTGCAGAGCTTTTGCCATCACGTTGAAGGGCTCAGCCCTAGCATGGTTCAATAGGCTCCCCCCAGCCTCGATATCCTCCTTTAAGGAGCTATCCATATCCTTTGTGTCTCACTTTATAGGAGCTCGAACGTACAGAAAGCCGAGTTACCATTTGCTAAATGTGAAATAGGGACCCCACGAGAACCTCAGATCCTATGTTCAAAGGTTCAACTCGGAATCGCTAAAAGTGGACGTCCTAGACGAGAAATTTGTCATTACTACATTTATAGCTGACTTGGGTGTCCAATCTAAATACCTGATGTTCTTCATCTCGAAAAATCCCTAGGCCAGCATGGCCAAAGTACTGGCCAAGGCGAAAAAATACATAAATGGCGGAGAAGCCCTGCTCTCAAAAGTGGGGAGCTCATCCATGCAAAAAGACAAAGGAAAAGAGGAGAAAAAGAGGGACCGAAGTCCCAAAAGAGAGAAAGGACGAGATAGGTCCCCAAAAAGAAACAGAGATCGCTCCCCTAAAAGAAGCGGAGACGTTAGAGATCGCCTGGGACCACCTCATCCGGAGTTGTAGCCGAGGTATGCACCTCGGCAGATTCCCCCACTCACCACAATAATATCGCAAATCTTGTATGAAGTACAAAATAAAAAATTCCTGAGGTGGCCACCTCGGATGAAAGTGGACCCGACAAAAAAGGACCCCTTAAAATACTGTAAGTACCACAAGGACCATGGTCATCATACTGATGACTGCATTCAGTTGAAGAAGGAGATAGAATTCCTGATCTAACGAGGGCAGTTGTGTCGTTACATAGCCTAGGAGAATCAAAATCAAGCCCCACCACCTTAGCAGCAGGCTCTTGCGCAGCACCAACAGCCCCTAGGAAAGATCAAGGTAATATCAGGGGATTTTGTAGGAGGCGGGGAATCTAGTTCAGCTAGGAAAGCCCACCTACGCAGAATCAGAGCTGGTGAGGCTTTGGAGGTGTACGCTATATCTAAGGCACCATGGCTGAGCTCAAGACATCACATTCTCAGATGCAGACTTAGAAGGATACCAACACCCCCATGACGCTGGTGGTAAGGGTTGTTGTGGCTAACAGAACTGTTCACCGGGTTCTGATAGATAACGGAAGCTCAGCAGATATCATATTTGCTTCTGCATTTGACAAGATGAGCATAGAAAGGAAAAATTGGAGCCCGTGAATGCTCACATGTTGGGATTTGTGGGAGAACGGGTGTTGCCACTGGGCTCAATCCAGCTTGTGCTCACTATGGGAGACCCCTCTGCCAGGAAACCACTACAATAAGATTCCTAGTGGTTGATGCCCCATCTGCATACAACATGTTGCTCAGGAGACCTTCTCTCAATGCAATGAAGGCCATCCCCTCAGCCTATCATCTGGTCATGAAATTCCCTATGAAAAACAAAGTTGGAGTGGTCCAAGGAGATCAACGGGTTGCAAGGGAATGTTACTTGACTTCGATGAAACAGAAAGAAGTTGAAAACATACGACTAGATGAGTTGGACATGAGGGACGAACTGGGCACCAAGCCAACGCCAACGAAAGAACTGGAGCCAGTTCAGCTTGATGAAGAGCCAGAATATCTTGTCTACATTGGGACTAAACTGAGTAGAGAGGTTAAGGACCTTCTCATCTTGTTCCTGAAGGAGAATATAGGGGTGTTCGCTTGGAAACAAGAAGACATGGAAGGCATTGACCCCTCGGTTATCATTCACAAGCTGAGTGTGAATCCTACCTACAAGCCCGTCAAGCAGAAGCGAAAGAGTTTTGCCCTAGAGCGTCAGAAGGTAATCAATGAGGAGATCGGCAAGCTTCTTCACGCCAGAGCTATCAAGGAAGTAGATTACCCTACCTGGTTGGCCAACGTGGTTCTTGTCAAGAAAACCAACGGCAAATGACGACTCTGCATAGACTTTACTGATCTCAGCCGAGCGTGCCCTAAGGATAGTTTTCCTTTACCCCGGATTGATTTAATAGTGGATGCCACCGCTGGGCACGAACTCCTCAGCTTTATGGACGTTTTCTCAAGTTATAATCAGATCAGGATGGATCCAATCGACCAGGAGAAGGCCTCTTTCGTGACTGAGCAGGGGACTTACTACTATTAAGTTATACCTTTTGGGTTGAAGAACGCGGGAGCTACCTACCAGCCTCTGGTGAATCGAATGTTCCAAAGGCAAATTGGAACATCCATGGAGGTCTATATCGCTGACATGCTGGTGAAGTCACTGAAGGCAAAACTCCACATTATATACCTAGCAGAATCGTTTCAGGTCCTTAAGGAATACAAGATAAAGCTAAACCCTGCCAAATGTGCCTTTAGAGTATCTGTGGAAAAATTTCTGGGTTTTATAGTGAACAGTAGAGAGATAGAGGCTAACCCCGAAAAAGTTAAGGCAGTCCTAGATATGCAGCCACCATCTAACGTAAGGGAAATCCAACACCTGACAAGGAGAATAGCAACCTTGGGATGCTTTTTGTCCAGATTAAGCGACAAGTGTCAACCTTTCTTTCAAGTCCTAAAAAGGCATTCCATTGGGATACTCGATGCAAAAAGGCATTTAGGGCTCTGAAGGTTTATCTGAATTCCCCACCTCTACTAGCAAGCCCTTTGGAAGGGGAGATACTTATTCTATATCTGGCTATTTCAAATTTCTCGACGAGCGCAACTCTGGTGAGGGAAAAAGACAGAGCTCAGCAGCCTGTCTACTACTGCAGTAGAGTTTTGAGGGGGTAGATGAGAGATACGCAAAATAGAGAA